TTTTATCCTCTATTGTACTGAGCTGTTCCCATATGCGAGCGGCATATCGTCATGTATCGTCTAGCATAATATTGCTCTATTTTGGTCTACATGCTAAGCCCAAACAATAAAATTAAGAGATGCCATCTGACAGCATCGGTCTGTCCGACCTATCTTCTGAACACTATCCCAATGAACAGAATTTTTATTGACTGCTCGGTAAATGCGCGCAACTCACAATCTAATCCAGCTAATCATGACCTTCAATTTATCGAATAGCAGTAGCAACTACCGCACAAAATCGTCAGCATATCGTTAAAATAGCTGTTCGTTTCAACGTGATGAAAACCAACTTGAACCTCTGTTGAAGTGCCTTTACGAGACTTTTAACATTAATTTGCTAACCTAATATACACTGCAGCACTTTCGCTAGTTAAAGATTGTCTTACTTTTATTTTCTGAAAAACTGCGACCGCTAGGATAACATCAATGCTTCCCAACCTCCCTATAAGGGAGGATACCTATCGAGTCAGCGTTTTAGCTAATTTAACACCCCATGCGCTTCTAACTAACAGAAAATAAGATATACTTTTAAATCATTGACCAAGTGCAATTTCCTCTTAGAAGAAAATATACAGTCTGCTATAGTTGTAATTAAATATATCCAACAGGTCTTTGACCGTATAAATCTTATATTTTGTCGTCTTTTCAATTAACATGTTTCCAATTAATCCTGACTTCTAGTGTCCGTTCTTTCTGGCCTTTCTATTTTTTAATAGACCTCATGGCTTGTTTTTTAACCGGACAATGTTTTAGGCTTTTGATTTGTTTAGTAAATTGTTGTGCGGCTTTTGTCACAGTTAATTCGAGCGATACCTATTTCTATTCTATAAGATAATCAAGATAGCAGCATCACATCTCAATACCTCATTACCAGGCTGACACATTAGCCCTCTTAAGACAATATTTGGGTAAATTGTACTTATGCGCGCTATTCTACTCATGTCGTGTGTTCAGCTGCTTTTTTGACGGCATTATGCAGGCGAGAGCTTTGGGTCATCGATAGGTCTTAGAGCGTTTCTCGAGTGGGTTCTGTTATGGCAGCCAACTTCTATCTCATGGCTATAACGTTGGTGCAAGTTACTTATGGACTCCGATTTACGTTCTTAAAACCGGACCAGTCACCACTAAAACATTTGTGGTTTATCCATTGAAATAAAACGAAGTGAATTTGCCTCATAAACTTAGGGGCCATTATCGCGTTTGCAACTTGCCGTTGAGGAAAAATATTAATGAACAGTCTTTTACGCCAGTACTGCTTTTAGCTCGTTATTCCATCCTCCATTTCTGTCTCACCGTGCTTTTACTTCAGCAAGTAAAACCAAATTAGCTCGAACAAATTTATTTTGTCGTCATACATTATTTCGACGTAGCTTTCATCTGTGTGATCAATGCAGGATTAAATGCGAATATTCAATTTTTTCTGTGGGCCCTATATAAACTTTTTACATGACCCCTGTCTACAAGCACAAATACGAGTCTGTTTACGGCTTAAAATTGCCTGAAGAAATTGTAAATTATATCGCGGTTGCCGTCATTCTTAAGTGAAGACCGGGACTGATTAAAGGTATTTTCGGAACCCTAATTTTTTTCATGCTATGCACGCCACTTGCGTCATGTGCTATTCGTTTTCCTTGCAGGAGCAGGAGGATGGAGCAAATCCCACGGCAACAGTTGATGAAGCCGGGGAAGAGCCGGTCGCTGCCGCTGCTGCTGACGATTTCGCTGCCTCTGAG